ATTATTTGGAAAAATCGAAATAAAAATAAAACTTCTACACCCTGTATTTCCGAAACTAAGCATTTTAGGACATGCATTTATATGAACTTTTTTACTTATTTTTATCTACAGAATATGCTGCTAAAGTTTCCGGTTACAGTTCGGATCACCCTGTATAAAAACAATCTTTAGTCTAGGGTTTCCAATTTTCGGGATAGAGATCCCGTTTTGAAATCCTGAGGTTAGAACCTATAATCCCGGGATTGATTATCAGAATGAGAAATTTAATCTAAAGAAATACTCAATAAAAATGCGGCTACATATGTATATCAAAAAGAAAATGAGAAAAGAGCTTTATTAAAATTGACAAAACAAAGTAACATTCATATTTAGTAAGTAAAAAAAAAACAATTTCTTGTTGCAAAAAATATAAAATAGTATTGCAAACGCGGAAATATAACTTTATAAAGTCGAATCAGTTTAGATTGGGCATTTAAATTTTTCGTGATTTTCGGGATCCCGGGATTTAATATGGGGATTTCGGGGATAAACATACATGAGGATCCCGGTTTGGAAAGCCTAGACGTGACTGACATGAGTGTGGGAATAAACCTTTATATCCCTTAAAACACGGTTTAAGTATAAATTTAAGAACTTTGATGAACGTTTAATAATAAAATTCTACGAAAAAGGTGGTAACGCTTGGAGCGCTCAAGGTAACGATTTAGAACAGTATCTTATCGTGGACCTGGGCCAGATAATGAACGTTACCAGGATCTGGACGCAGGGCAGGCCTCACACCAGCCAGTACGTGTCCGAGTACCAGATCAGCTACGGTACTAACGGGTTAGATTACGCCTATTATCGGGACTCGGCAGGTGACATTAGGGTAGGTATTTACCATAGATTTGTAAAGATAAAAAAGGGGGATTTATGTCTACAGTATGTCCCCGGATTGTCTTTAGAAGAGGAAAAACTTTTTTAAAATTCATAAAAAAAATTGCTTGTTCTAAAATGGTTAATCCCGTTTATACTTTTCCAAATTTCCATACCGTTTTAGAGAAAATTAAAAAAAACATAAAAATATGATTGAATTTTTTAAGTCCTGAAAATCAAAAAGTGTTTCTATTGCAATATAATTTCGATTTCATCTTTGATAGTTTGATTATTAATTTTGATTAACGTAATATTTTTTGCTATTGTTAAATTATCACATTTCCCGATAACTATTATCCCCTTTCCTTAGCATTGAACTAAATAAATTTTGTGCTTCTTTAGCATATTAAAACAGCATAAAATATGAATTTAATTAATTATATTATTTATTAATTCTAACAATAACAATATATCAAAGAATGAAATCGAAATTATATTGCCATATACATTTTTAGGACTTAAAAATTCAACCATATTTTCATGTTTTTTTTTTAATTTTCTCTAAAACGGTATGGAAATTTTGGAAAGTATAAACGTGATTCACCATTTTAGAACAAGGATTTTTTTTTGAAGAATGTATTTTTCTCAAAAAGTTTTTCGTCTTATTTATTTATCTATTTATTTTAGCATACAGTCTAACATTTAGTAGACATATAAACACAGTAATCATTAATAAGCCAAGATAACAAGAATTAAATATACTACAGTTACACTTACATAGAAAATAAAGTTAAGGAATAATTTAAGAGAATCTAAAGAATAATATAATATGTAGAAAATAAAGTACATAATAGAAAATAAAGTTAAAAAAACAAACAAATTTATACAAAAAGAAAAATAAAAAAAAGTAATTACATTAGGAAAATAACACACATTCTCTGTTAAAGCAATCCGGGGACATACTGTATAATCATAAGGGTATAAAAATAATAAATGCGGTAAAATTCAAATAAATGCGGTAAAATTCACAATTGATTGCTTTTTTTTAAATATTTTCTTTGTGATATACAGGGTGGTCCGAACTGTTTTCCGGAAACTCCGGCAGCATATTCTGCAGATAAAAGTAAGTAAAAAAGTTTGTATATATGTATGTCCTAATATAATAACCCCTACAAGTAGGAGTCACATTGACATCGAAATCAAATTTCTCATGTCAAAAAACTTCCACACACCAATTATTGGAAAAAATCGAAATAAAAATGAAATTTCTACACCCTGTATCTCCGAAAGTAAGCATTTTAGGACATACATTTATACGAACTTTTTTATTTATTTTTAACTGCAGAATATGCTGCCGGAGTTTCCGGAATACGGTTCGGACCACCCTGTATAATTGTTTTTAAACATGGACCTTCTAAGTTAATACGCCAAGGTATTATTAGGTTGCAATGTATTGAAGAGGATATTGTAAGTAAAAATGCCATTTCTATGAAGAGATTTACAAACAGGATTTATTAAATATATTATCTAAGGAAAATATTAAATATATTATCTAAAAATACTACGCGTCCTCATTGTACTATGGTCTGTCCATGACAGTTGTTTTCTGTCATTTTTTGGATGTTGTCTGCCGAAATCTTCTCTGACTCGTTGGGCAGATTCTGTCTACAGGATGTTCCTTAATGACATGCTAATATTTAAGGAGGAGATTCTTGGGCCTATTCTAAGAAAAAAAGTTCATATGAATATATTATGTCCTAAACATCTTAACTTTTCAGATACAGGATACAGGGTGGTAACATTTTCTATTTGGTTCAAAATATCTCTGGTGGTATATTTGATACACGTCTTCCATGCATCAAAGTGCTTATTTTAATATAAAAAAATGTTTTATTTCTTAATTTCCTTCCAGCCGATTCAGAAATTGTTTCTACACAACAGTCACCGCATCATATTATATACAGGGTGTTTCAAAACAAATGCGAAAAACTTCAGGGGGTGATTCCTTGTTGAAAATAAAGGGTAGTTTGCTTTATAGACGTTGGGTCAAAAGTCAACCATTAGAGAGATATCGCGGTACAAAGATGGCGGAAAAATAATGTTTTTATTTTTTATCTTGAAAACGAAAAGAGATAGACTAATGAAATTTTACGGAAGCATTACTGTTATGAAAACACACTTTCTGGTAATTTTTTCACTTTTTTAAAATGAGTGGAAGGGGTTGAAATAAACTACCCCTATCATTCCTGTTAATGAAATTTAAAGAAAATCTTATCAAACATGCAAAAAAAATTAATTTGATAGTTTAGTTTATTTAGAAACTTTTTTATCTCTTGTGTTTTTTTGATAAAACTCACCGATTTGAAATTAAAAAATAAAATGTAAAGCATTACATGTCAGGACAAACAACATTTTTAGATAAAGAATCTAGTGGGCAGCTGTAATTTTTTTAGAAAAAAATCTAGTCGGCCGCTGTCACTTTTTAGGATGTTTCTAATATTGTTTTATTTGACATTACCCTACTGCAATACGTTATTATCTAGATTATTATTATTATCATGATTATCACTAGATTCTTAATCTAAAAATATTTTTAGTCCTGACATGTAATGCTTTACATTTTATTTTTAATTTCAAATCGGTGAGTTTATCAAAACAAGAATAAAAAGTTTTCTAAATAAACAAACAATTTTTTGCGTGTTGACTAAGATTTCTTTAAGTCGTGCTGAAGAATGATCAGTTTGCTTCAGCCCTTCCATTTAAAGTGGCCGAAAATGTTTTTCGCCAACAATGCTCATAAAATTTCATCTATCTCTTTTCGTTTTCAAGATAAAAAATAAGAACATTATTTTTCCGCCATCTTTGTACCGCGATATCTCCCTAATGGTTGACTTTTGACCCAACGTTTATGAAGCAAACTACCCTTTATTTTGAACAAGGAATCACCCCTTGAAGTTTTTCGCATTTGTTTTGAAACACCCTGTATAATACTAAGGGTCGGCATTTCTGGTCTTGGGTGCCGATTTTCGTGTGTACGAAGAGTACGGTCAACACGCTTAGTAAAATAACATGTACTGAATAAAGACAGAAGGCAAGTATTTTTCCAAGCGCATGGAATCTAGCGTCAGGTTAAATGGTTATGTAATAAATACTATTTTTGCTCTCTCCGACTTACTAGATTGCCATAGCGATTCACTCCTATACATGTAAACGCCGCCCCAAGGTTTCTCTTGCCAGCAGGGTATAATATAATACGATATTATATATTTTTTATTATATAATAATTGAAATATTTGAATATTTCTCCAAAAATATTCAAAGTAAAACCCATATGGACGGCACTGGTTGAAATAAATAAAATTCTTTGTACACCATAAAGGTATTATATGCATAGAAGACGTGTATCGGGTTTCATAAAGATATGTAAAGTACGTCTGCTGGATCTGTGTCTATAAAAGGAATGCGGACAAAAAACATTTAAATAAACAGCAATATATTTTATACGTCGACTTGACGAGTACGTCGCCGCAAATCGCTCCGCCCACTCATTTTATTGGCTACTTGCAAATTTGTCGAATTTTTATTGATGGAACGCGTCGTCTAATTTTTTACGAAAAACATCGAGAGAATATCGTTTCCCCTCTCACGGATATCCCGTAGCTACAGAACAGACAGACGTACTGTATCTGTAATAAAATCAGAGTTATTATGAAAAAAAGTTTCTTAGGAAAATTTACCACCCTGTATCTCAGAAATTAAGATGTACATTCATATGATGTTTTTCTCGTAGAATAGGTCCAAGAATCGCCTTCTTAAATATTAGCATGTCATTAAGGAACACCCTGTATGAAACAATATAAAAACAGCAATATTACCTTTTTTTTGACTTTAGTTAATTTTATTTTCTTTATGTACATACTTATCTAACCAAATATGCATGGCATTCCTCTTTCACAAACAGTTTATGCTTGTATTTAGTTTATTAAATATAGAAGTATTTTAGAAACTTAAATATAGAAGTATTAAAAAGCATGGGTTTTATAGGTGTATGCACCATTATGTAGCAAATACTAACATTCGCTAACTAAGCTCAGTTTTCCATACACTAACACTCTTATCCTCTCATCTAAACTTCTTTCCCCCAGGCAGTTCCGCGTGGAGTCCCGACTACAGCACCTACTTCCAGAAGCTGATCGTCGATCTGGGCGCGGTGTACGAGGTACGCTCAATAGCGACCCAAGGACGTAGGGGTACACGCGAGTACGTCACCGAGTACGTGGTCGAGTACTCGGATAACGGCAACGAGGGATGGAAGGCGTTCCACAACGCGCAGGGGGAGATCGAGGTGCTTAGCTACGTGTTGGAGAGAGATGTAGTAGTGTCTTGTGTCTTGTGGTGTTTTTCTTTGTTTTGTTTTGAGTATAATTTGTATCATGTTTCAGTGCGTATATACAGAATAACTTACAGATGTGGCACGTATTTCATCTTGCTGATAAACGCCGCCATGAGCTTTAATAGGGCTATGGCGTTGTCAGACTTCGTTTTTTTCTCGAATGCATTGTTGTTTTTTGTAAAAAATGTATTCCCAATTGAAATAATACTTAATCTGTAGTACAGCTTTTTGCAGCGATTTATCATACGCACGATGATTAGGGACCGAAAGCATCCTTGTTTTATTTAGTTTCTCCGTCTTACTGATAAATCTGTGTTAATCTGTGGCATGTGTGCATCAAAAGAAGAGAAAGAGTGAATCTACCAGGTCACTTGTGAATGTGGTGATTCGTATATTAGAGAGACAGGACGTCCTCTAACTGTACGACTTAACGAACATAAAAACATACGCAAAGAGGTGAAACAATGAAGTTAGGTATTGCAGATCATGTGGGGTCCAAGCACCACTACATAAGATGGTCGCACCATTACATAAGAAAGCGTAAATTAAAAAAAGGCGTATTTATATCTTGCAATAATCTTTATCAATCCAAGTATGGGAATTTCCATAATATGGCAACCACTTATAAAATGCACTAATGCGAGAATTCTCAGTGGATAACCTAATGCTTGACTGCACCTAAAACCTACTTCCAGTAGAAGAATGCTCTGCTCTAGAAGGGTCAATCGAGAGGATAAATGAAAAAGATTTTTGCTACCTAACTTTATTTTAAAATTATCTAGGTGATGTATAAAAGAAAATTATAAGTTGTCCTATGGATGGCGGTTCCTTCTCAGCTAGGTATGTGGAAATATAGATTAAAAACATGACAATTTTTGTTGAAGTAGAGATAAGAATTGTTTTGATCTGTTTCCATTTACTCCATGAATATTTTCATTTACCCATCACATTGGGGTAAATAAAAACAGCTTGGTTTTCGTTATGAATAACAATGACGTGACCATGGGGTAAAAACTTTGCTTTTTAGTCAGTAACTCAGATATTTTAATATTTCTGAAAGCAGTATCTTTTAATTGGTAAAAATTAAAAAAAATCGTGAGATCCTGCGTATGTATCTGTACTGACTTGAGGAAAAGGAATTTTCTTTCCGAGATACGATCATTAACTTTATTTTTTTTTTAAATACGGACCTAGATTTTCTATATGCTAAAATCTTATATGAATTATTAGAACCCATCATAGGTCAGTCATTCAGATTCAGTGGCAAAACTACAACACTTGTAACTATAGGCATAGATTAGGTATCCTATAAGTATACAGATAAAAATCTTGTCCTTAATTCGTGGTACGAAAATTGTTTTTTATGACGATGTGCAAACGAGTAAAATTTCCTGTGCGCAAAAATAAACTCGCGTAAAATAACAATAAACAGCGTAATAGAGAGATATCGCTAAACCGAATAGCGTGAATGAACGTTAATAAGGCCAGGTGTTATTTCCTTTACGTGAGGTGGTATTAACTCTCTTCATTTATAGTTATCGGATCAGAAAGAATTCTGTTCGCGTCGCGTCCGCTATTTAAACTTAACCTAACTTTGAATTTAAAAATTTAAAACTTTGAAATTCTTTTGTTTACTAGGTATTTTAAAACTAAAGGGCTAAAGTGCTTATTTCCAGTGCTTTATTGTTCAACGTCTGCTAGTGGGTTTAGAGCAATAAGCAACAAATTCTCTTAGAAGGGCTAAGTCGTCATCTGCTGCAAACCTAAGCCTCTTTATAGGTTCTTTAATATTGGAAGAGGTGGAATCCATATTTTGGGCCATATTTATTTAATTAAAACTAATTATATATTATAATAATCCCAGCTACTTAAATATCAAATTACCTAATAAAACTAAAGTAATAATTCAAACATAACCTAAAATAAAAGATCTCGCCGGCCGGCCCCGGTTGTCAAAAACCCGCACATGCCCATTTAAGCAATTTTTAAACGTTATTTAGAAATAGCGCTTGTAATTGATCCGCAAATTACGTCAGGCGGTAACGTTATTAGCGAGTGTTGCGTTAAAAATTGACTCGCGCATATCGTAACCATGATAAGGTACGCGTAAATACTGCATGACGCTATTCGGTCTTCCGATATCTCTCTAATAACTGTGCCGGTCAGGCGCTGTGCACAATTTTAGAGGCCATAAGTGGGCGTGCTATGCGCGCAAACTAGTAACCTAACTAGTGCCCGATTCCGAAAATTGGAACCACGAAAAACAATAAAGAAAAAACAAAGTTTATAATCTGTATAATCTGTGCTATAGGTTACAAGACAAGTAATATGAAGTTACGTTGAAATATTAAATAATCCCTTGTGTGCGCACTGAAACATCAGATAACAAATTATACAAAGATATTTTTTATGGTTTGCACAAATTTTCCGTTATTTATGTTATATAATTTGTTAGGTGGTTTTGGTTGTAGCCATTAAAAGTTCTCTAGACAGTTTTGGCTCTATTGACTTGTTTATTATGACTTTGACTTCTCTATGTGTATGTTTCTAATTGTGTGTTTACATAATATCATCCGTCGTACCAATCACGAAGTATCATCTGTCAATTTTGAAATAGACCAATAAAATTTCGTAAGATCAACGATGGACGATTCAGGACGGATATAGGTGTTGTAAACCCACACTAAATGTGTACATATGACTAGATAGATAAAACACATATATTTGCATGTAAAATTTCAACTATCTTACTGTCTTCTATGAGCAATTAATACTTTTAGTTACTAACTATATTTCAACCGCCAAAATGCCCAATATTACCTAGCTTGTTAGTTAATTAATTATAATTACTCAGATTTTTTATATTTGGTATGTTTACGTAAAGAGTTTACTGCATATTGGTATATAATATTTTTGCCTATACAATAGAGAGAGAGAGTGATAACTAAATACGTCGAGAATATTTTGGAAGCGATACTTTTGAAAATTTTAGAGCGCTTATTTTAGAAATGCCAGGTGACTAATTCTATAAAACTATATATTTAGGTATTTAGTAAACGGTTATGAATAGGGAAATTGTCTAAGAAAATGTTTAAAAAATGTGATAAAGGTGCGGTTGAATACCAAATAATACTCTGTCCTATGAGTTCGCTTTTTATTCGTTACATTTGCTTTATACTATCCTATTCGTTGCACAAAATTACGTATAGTCTGCCTAGAGACATAATAATATAATTTTAATAAATACAGTAAAACCCCGGTTATCCGAGGTAACGTGGGGGACATCCTCCTCGGATAACTGAAAACTCGGATAATCCGGATTTATTAAAAAATAAGCACCAATACATACTTTAAACGGTTTATTAACATTTTTAACATGTAAATACATAAGTACCTACATAACATATTTGTAGATACTCTATCTACATTATAAAACAGTGAAATAAGTATCTATGCGCTGCTGTTTCATATTGCATCTTCTTTTTTTCGCTGCCATGTTTCTCCATCTGTTAAGAAGAAGCAAATCTGTTGGGGTTGCCTCTGATTGTTGTTCGATATACCTCAGAGCTATTTCCAGAGAAGCAAAACCTTCTTGATGGGTAATCTAAGTGGAAGGCTGTTCATCCACCTCTTCGTCATAGTTATCGTCATCTGATTTTTAGGTTTCGCGAAAGGCGTTTGCTATTTCTTCAATATTCATTTCTTCTTCTAAATCATCTGCTGTAACCCATTCATCAACGTCTTGTCTTGTCACATTTTCGCAACCTTTCAAGTTTTGCATTAATTCTAATAAACTTTCTTCTTCTCCTGTCTCGTTTAAATTTATACAGGACATTTCTCCACGGCTTTTCCATTTCAAAGCCAATTCATTTAATAGAATATCATCTTCACTGTCATTATAGTCCTCAAGATCAATAACTTTCGACCAAGATTTTTGAATAGTGGAACCGCGTACGAATCCTAAGCTTGGCTTACCCAGTAAATAACATTTTTTAGTGTAATCTTTCTTATCCCAGTGATAATATCCTCTTTTTTTTGCTGTGCATTCTAGTAGATGTTCAAGATATAAACGCCTATATTTTTTTTTATCTTTTCGAGGACGCCCTGGTCCATTGGTTGCATTATACTGGTTACATTTGGAGGAAAAAATTTTACAATTTCGCCCACGTGGAGTCCTTCTCCAGGGTGAGAGGGAGCATTGTCCATTAACAAAATTGCTTTAATATGGAGGCTGGTTCTCTTCAAAAATTTAGTCACAGATGGCACGAACTCTTCTTTAAACCAGTTAGTAAATAACGTCGCATCCATCGATGCACTCTTCTGACTTTTGTAATAAACTGGTTGGGCTTTGGGTGAGATGTCTTTTAACGCTCCTGGATGTGCAGACTTGCCAATCACCATAAGTGGAATTTTGTGATTACCAGATGCATTGGAACATGCCATTATGGTTAATCTTTCCTTACTTCTTTTGTGCCCAGGAGCTGATTTTTCCTGTCGAGATGCCAATGTTTTTGATGAAAGCATTTTATAATTCAAATCACTTTCGTCACAGTTATAAATTTGATCACATGTATACCCACAATGTTTGATTAGCTTTTTAAAGTCCTGTTTAAATGTTTCAATTGATGACACATCAGCAGAAAGTTTTTTTCCACATATAGTCAGTTGTCGTACACCGTACCGTTTTTTCCAGCGGTCAAGCCATCCAGAACTGCCGGTAAACCTATCTGTCTCTGGAAATTGTTTACTAATCATTATTGCTTTCTGCTGCAAAATGGGACCTGACAGAGGCACACCTTTTGATCTTTGCTGAGTAAACCACGTAAATAAACTTCGTTAACTTTTTCATAGTCCTTTTTCATTGATTTTCTTTTTGAAGACGAAGAGGCTTGTTTTATACACCATTCTTCTATTTCCGTGCTGTTTCTGTTCCAATCTCCAACTGTTACCTCACCTACTCCATAATCTCGTGCAACAATTTTAATTGTCTCTCCTGCTTGAATTCTCCTAATGGCTTTTAATTTTTCTTCAATAGGAACGACAATTCTTTTACGTTTGTTTCGTTCCATTATAATACGGCAAACGAAAATTTAAACAAAGCAGTTGGTATACACTTAACTAGAACTCCACCCAGATAAATCATGCGAGTACATACGTACATCTACTTCTCCCTAGTGAACGCAATAACGAACTGCATTCACTCAAATTTACATGCTAAAAGAGTCCAAAAATATAAATAAGGGGAACCACTTACACGGGCCAAGGGGATTCCCCGTCGGTCCCAACGATTTTAAACGGAAATATGTAAATATACATATAGCATATTTTAGAAGCTCCGTTAATACAGAGCATAGACGCGCGACCTCCGATAATCAGGGTCTTTAGATTGGATCGGTTAATCCGGAGCTCGGATAATTGCGACTCGGATAATCGGGGTTCTACTGTACATGTATTTTTGATATCAGCTGTCGAAATAATATACATTATCTCATTTAAAATCATATTTTTTGTAAAAAACAGTTTTGAGTATTAGAACTTGTCACTCTAGCATAATTTTTTGACACAATTAGGTACGTTTTAATTTAACTTGAATACAAAACTGTGCGATTTCTTGTACAATCAAGTGGGTGTTATAAAGTGGCTTTAGGAGTATTTATGTTTTACATTATTTTTTGATAAATATCAAAAATATTTTAGATGTTTAGAGGAAACGTCGATGGCGATACTGTTCACAAAAACGAATTTGAAGTACCCATCATAGCTCAGTGGATTCGCATCAACCCTTCTAGATGGAGAGATAGAATTTCCATGAGAATAGAACTGTTTGGTTGTGAATATAGTAAGCCACAATAAATCTCTATAATTTTTTATATTAATTTGTTTTTATATATTATTTAGTTGCCGAGAATATGTACTTTAATGGTACGTCCTTGTTAAGACTGGATCTACTCAGAGAGCCTATTGCTGCCTTAAGGGAGACCATCAAATTTAGGTTTAAAACTGCTTCGCCAAACGGTGTTCTTCTCTACAGTAGAGGAACGCAAGGAGATTACGTTGCTTTACAGTTGAGAGAAAATAGAATGTTGTTCAATGTTGATTTAGGTAAATTTTTAAACATCTTCGTCTAAAGTAAAAATTAATTACACATATGGTAATCGCAAAACAATTGACGATGCACGTCATCAACTTTGAGTGACAAGCGATGGCGACAGCGCTGCCAGATTGTGATGGATTTATGAGATGAATCTTAATTTAAAATTGACAAACCACATATTTATTATATCATTTTTTAAAGTTTAAAGAGTTTTACGTTTTATTTTAAATTTAATAACTAATATTTTAGTGATTAATTGATTTATTTTTATATAGCTTTAACCTACGGTATTCGCAAAACAATTTCCGATGCACATGATAAATCTTAATGTAAAATGGGGAAACTATATATTTATTATATCATTTTTTAAAGATTTTTACGTTTTATTCTTAATTTAATAATTAATATTTTAGTAATTAATTATTTGTTTTATAGCTTATTTTCACAAAATTTAATAAAAACTAACTTTGAAGTGGTATAATGTGCTTATCAATCGAACTTACTTTTCTGACTGCAGTCAAGGATAATAAAGGACCTTTATTGTCACGTTCTCGTTCAAAATAGTTCTAAAAAAACAGGGAAGCTACAAGCTCTTTGCTTGGGCTGTTTAAATGCTTCGGCATATTTTCAACACACAATTTCAAGAAATGCAATACAAAAACTCGAAAATTTAGTTCTTAAAAGAACTGTTTGTGCTTAAATGTGCAATTAAAAAAAAACTATGAAAATAGGCAAAAAAACGAGAATTGCTTATAAAGGTTCAACAAAAACACGATATTATACAAAATAATGACTGACACTAGGATAATTGTCAAATAATAAGGACATTGCTGAACACGGCTCAATGTGACAAAAATAGCTATAATAAAATTCGATTTAATCTAATTTTTGCAGTTTTAATCTAAATAAAATATCTGTTACAATCATTTGTTCTATAAAGTAAAATAAAGAGCTGCTAGGTATCTTAAATTATACAACAAATTTAAACATTTTGGCCGAAATTTAATTTAGTCAGGTTTATAGACGTTTATAGACGTGTGTATCGGAAAATGTTTTGCGATTACAATAGTTCTCTACTCTGTAGTACTGCCTTTTTTTATTTCTAATTGAACTATTATCAAATTTTGTTATTTAAAAATCTTCGTTTAACTTACGCAGGATCCAATATGGTGACAAGTTTGAGCGTTGGTAGTCTTCTGGACGACAATATCTGGCATGACGTAGTTATTTCCAGAAATAGAAGGGACATTCTATTTTCGGTAGATAGAATTGTGGTTCAAGAAAGAATTAAGGGAGATTTTCAGAGACTGGATTTGAACAGAGAGGTACTTATTTAATTTTATATCACATTTGGTTTTTAAAGTATCAAACAGTTTTATGATCTAGAGGACTTTGATTTTTACACAATTAAAAAAAGGTGCAATTTGAAACTTCTTACTAATAGCTATCAAAATTGGAGGATTTGAAGGTCATGTTTGAAAAAGTGACATAATATAATGCTGTGACACATACTTTTATGCAAATGTTATCGTTATGTTAATGCTTAAATTTATGCTTTGAATAAGAAGACTAAGGAAGGATCATAACAAAAATCTTAGATCCACCGCGATGGGACTCAAATATGGCCGACTTAAATTCCGGTTTATCAGTGCCGTTCTAATTTTATTTAAAAAATGTAAAACTATGATGTAGGGTAGACGTGGGGTAGACTCAATATTTTTTTTTATTTTACGTTGCCAATAAATGTTGGTAGTTATTAAAATTGTTATAAAAACATATTATTATAATAAAAATAGATAAGTTTTAATAATTATTTATTAACACAAACAACGCTAATGAAGCAGGTAAGTCAAATTGACGTATCTAAATTCTTTGACACCCTTCCTGGACAGAAACGGTACATTGTGAGACAGGAAATTGTAGAGAGAAACCAGCCCTATAACATAGGATACAACATTTTAATGAACAGTGCATTCCATAAAATCAATAAAATGAAAAATATACGAAATAATATACATGTTCTGATTTCTTTCGAAAATCGACATCTATGCAACTATGAACCCTTCCTGGACACAAACGGTACATTGTGAGACAGGAAATTGTGGAGAGAAACAAGCCCTATAACATAGGATACAACATTTTAATGAACAGTGCATTCCATAAAATCAATAAAATGAAAAATATACGAAATAATATACATGTTCTGATTTCTTTCGAAAATCGACATCTATGCAACTATGAACCCTTCCTGGACACAAACGGTACATTGTGAGACAGGAAATTGTAGAGAGAAACAAGCCCTATAACATAGGATACAACATTTTAATGAACAGTGCTTTCCATAAAATCAATAAAATGAAAAATATACGAAATAAAATAAATGTACTGATTTCTTTCGAAAATCGACAACTATGAAAATATGAACCCTTTCTGGACACAAACGGTACATTGTGAGACAGGAAATTGTAGAGAGAAACCAGCCCTATAACATAGGATACCTACAACATTTTAATGAACAGTGCATTCCATAAAATCAATAAAATGAAAAATATATGAAATAATATACATGTTCTGATTTCTTTCGAAAATCGACATCTATGCAAATATGAACCCTTCCTGGACACAAACGGTACATTGTGAGACAGGAAATTGTAGAGAGAAACAAGCCCTATAACATAGGATACAACATTTTAATGAACAGTGCTTTCCATATAATCAATAAAATGAAAAATATACGAAATAATATACATGTTCTGATTTCTTTCGAAAATCGACATCTATGCAACTATGAACCCTTCCTGGACACAAACGGTACATTGTGAGACAGGAAATTGTAGAGAGAAACAAGCCCTATAACATAGGGTACAACATTTTAATGAACAGTGCTTTCCATATAATCAATAAAATGAAAAATATACGATATAATATACATGTTCTGATTTCTTTCGAAAATCGACATCTATGAAACCCTTCCTGGACACAAACGGTACATTGTGAGACAGGAAATTGTAGAGAGAAATAAGCACTATAACATAGGGTACAACATTTTAATGAACAGTGCTTTCCATAAAATCAATAAAATGAAAAATATACGAAATAAAATAAATGTACTGATTTCTTTCGAAAATTGACAACTATGAAAATATGAACCCTTCCTGGACACAAACGGTACATTGTGAGACAGGAAATTGTAGAGAGAAACAAGCCCTATAACATAGGATACAACATTTTAATGAACAGTGCTTTCCATAAAATCAATAAAATGAAAAATATATGAAATAATATACATGTTCTGATTTCTTTCGAAAATCGACATCTATGAAACTATGAACCCCTCCTGGACACAAGCGGTACATTGTGAGACAGGAAATTGTAGAGAGAAACAAGCCCTATAACATAGGATACAATATTTTATTGAACAATGCTTTCCATAAAATCAATAAAATGAAAAATATACGAAATAAAATAAATGTACTGATTTTTTTCGAAAATCGACAACTATGAAAATATGAACCCTAATCTTTGACAAGTAGTAAATAAAAGCAAAAATGCAAGAAAAAATATATAATTAGTTAATTTAAGTGAATTTCATAAATGATCGGTTTACTACACGTATGTATATTTTATAGTCATTTATTAGCGAAAATTTGTTCCATTATTTCCCTCGATTTTTGACCGAGATCTACCGAACGCTACACAACCAACTATTTTAGAGTCTTTTTCGATAAATCGCGATAGTGTCACTGTTAATTTAAGTTCTGCCACAATTTCCATCTAGATTTACTACCTTTATACAACTATCAGTAATAGAATAAATAATAAATAACATAAAATAAGCTCCCTAAAGACTGACAAATCCACAAAATTTCAAATAAAATTCCAATGTGTCAAATGAATCGTCAAACAGAACTGTCAAGGATCCCCACCCTAGAGTCCTTTTTCCGCCCACCATGCATGAATACACGGATAGCATTATGCTCCTTCCTTAGTCTTCTTATTCAAAGAATTTATTTAAGAAGAGAAAACATTTTGAACCTAACCAACAATTTGTATTTATAGTGGTTTACAGTAAAATTTTTAGATGAATATTCTTCTTGACTATTGGTTTGAAATAAACATGACGATGTCCTATAATGAAAATGCGAGTTGCTTAACTAATAATTCTAATTCTGAGCTAGCTAAAATGAGCTAAATGCTTTACCTAGACTACAAAACTATGGTCTAGAGTTTATTTTTTTGTTATTTCTTAAAGCCAGGGTGTTCTCTTGATCATAAAACTTTTAGATCATATTATGTTACAACTTACTATGTTTCAGTTTTATGTTGGAGGCGTCCCGAATATACAGGAAGGTCTAGTTGTCGTCCAGAACTATACAGGGTGTATCGAGAATTTATACTTAAATTCCTCAAACGTCCTGCAAGACGTGAAACAGGCTTATGACTATGGTGATACATACAAATACGAAAAAGTTAATATTGGATCTAATTGTCCTGTAAGTCATATTATTTATTTTATTTATAAAAAAATAAATTAAAATATTACTTATTTTATTTTAGAGACCCCCTATAATTCCGGTTACTTTCACAACTGCCAGGTCCCATGCTAAACTTAAGGGCTATGAAGGGATGTCAGCCATGAATGCGTCCTTTGCTTTTAGAACATATGAAAATAACGGTTTGCTGTTATATCATGTTTTTTCGTCATCAGGTTTTGTCGCGGTAAGTATATACAGGGTGTTTACCCATAATCTGTCTGTAACTAAGTCATAAAAAATATTTTTTTGTGAAAGCGTTTTGAACTTGACAGTTTTTGATATTTATTTATGATTTGAAATGACATTCTTTTAGGCACTAGTATCTCAAAGTGACACTTGTTTAGGCACTAGTGCCTAAAAGTAAAAAATGAAACGTTGAAAAGAAACAATGACAATATTTATTTATTATAAATCTTAAAGGTATAATTATTTAAATTATTAAAGTGAATACAAGAGGCATCCAACTTTTCGTCTCTAAGAGAAATGCAAGTTGTAGGAATCCGAATAAGTAACTTTCTTGTACTGGCAATGTTGGTATAGTCTATAAGATGAATAACTTTGAATTTTGACCGTTCTTTTTTACCAACATGGCAAATATAAAATCCCTCTATCAAAAAAGTTACTGATATTCTTTAAATTGAGTGCCTGAACGAATCAGATAGGTAACTCTTTTTTACTTTCGTGCAATAGAAAAGGAAAATAATAAAACAAGTGACAGTTCTTCCTCTTCTTGCAAAAATCAACACGAAATGTCATAATTGACAAAAGTAAAATGTCATCAGTTTTTGACATTTCTAAATATTAGACCAATGCCGTCTCTAAAGAACAGCCATGGATCGAGATTTATGACGTCACGCTAGTTAGATACTACGGATTAATAAATATGTTGTAGAATACATGGAAAACATAATTATTCCTCGTATTTTTGGTTTGTATTTTAAAAATGATATAGTTTACATGAAATATACAGTTAATAAATACAATATAATATATACCTATTTATAGTAATACATACTTTGACAAATAAACTATGAACCATACAAATGCACCAAATGTTTTACAATATACAAATAATGAATAGGTGGTACATAAGATAATGGGTAAAATGTAAAATATATTTTAAATTTTGGGGTTTGAAAATCGATCTAATTTAACAAAAAAACATGTATTTAACAAAAAAACATGTATTATTATTTGCATTCACAAAATTTATTTATATATTATAATGTTTACTGCGATTAATAAACTAATATAAACTTGTCAAAAGATTACCACATATTTTTTTAAATTATTATTCTTACTTTGGTTTGGTTTGGTTGATTCTTAACACAAAAACTATCTACATTGACTATGGAGTACGATTTCAGCCATATTGTAAAACATTTGCTGCATTTGTATGGTTCATAGTTTATCTGCCAAAGTATTTATTACTATAAATAGGTATGTATATATATATATATATATATATATATATATATATATATATATATATATATATATATATATATATATATATATATATATATTCAGTAATCAAGATGGCGAACCGCGAGAACGCGCGTGAAGATCCTGAGAGCAAAAAGTGTAAAAGGTGTAATCAAACACCTACATCGGGTCCTAAATGTGTAAACTGCCAATGTATTATGCACCCGGGATGTGTTAAATACCTAAGAAACGTGAAACAAGTGGACGATGAAACAATAATATGCTGTGATAAGATACGGATAAATGATAGCGATAACAAAACACTTGAAAATGACAGTTCAAGATATCAAGTTGGTTCACGAGATTTTAACAAGTTGCTCGGAAGTACAGAAGAAATTCAGACTCAGCATAGTCCATTTCACTATTTGCATCAGATTATAGATGAAAAAGATAATTACATAAAGTATTTAATGGAAAATATTAATTTCCTCCAAGAACAAGTAAGAACACTTAACAGCGTGCTACTCCAGATCAGCTCATTCCATGGAAACGATCACACCGCCCAGCGAGTGTCATTAAACCTACTGCCGACACCTGGCGAATTTGTGAATAATGATTCTATCGATCGAGTGTTGAGTAAAGATAGTGCTGCCTCTGCGGATACAGTTTCGAAGCGTTCTAAACAACAGCAGGAACCCAGTCCATCTATTAGTGAGATTAACAAACCGTCAAATAAACAAACAAAACTGCGATCTACCAGGGATAATCCGAACACGCGCCGAAATGGACAAATTCTTGACAGGACGCAGTCCAATCTGGTTTCTACTGCTAAATCAAAACAAACAATATCAACACAATCTAGACAATTAAACTGCGATGGAAACACTAAACAGGAAAACAGGATACAAAACAACATACAAAGGAATAATAAGATAATAGGATGTGCGGTAAATTGTGACGGAATTAGTGCAATACCAAATAAACAATTTTTATTCGTGTCTAAATTAGATCCAAATGTAAAAGAAGACCAACTCAAGCAACTATTAAAAACTCACTTCCCAGAAGTAGAATGTCAGAAATTGGAATCAAGAAACACCAACTTTTTCTCATCTTTCAAGGTAATTATTGATGAAACAAATTACGATAAAGCATGGGATCCAGAGATATGGCCTAAAGATGCTCAAGTTTCGCCGTTTTTTCGGAAGAGAACTAATAAATATTTTGCAAAACAACAAAGAAGATATTAATTATGACAATACTACCAGTTCTGTCGGTGCTTACTTATCTAAAGTGCAATATCAGAATGATTCAAATGATACTTTGAGAACTATTACATTAATGTATCAAAACCTTAGATCACTTAAGAATAAACTGCATGAAATTCAGGCGTATATATGTGACAAAAAACTTGATATATTGTGTGTCTCTGAGCATTGGTTAGACGGTAGTGAGTCAGCCGAACTTAAAATATCTGGACTTGTTGTGGGTTCAATTTTTTGTAGGGAGGAGTCCAGAGGAGGTGGGGTAACCACCCTTCTTGACTCTACTATTGAACATAATAATATTACTAAAATCTCGAAATTTTCAATAGAAAAAATCATAGAACTTTGCTGTGCTTACATAAAGAGTCTCAATATTTATATATTCTGCGTTTACAGATCTCCTGGAGAAAGTATAGAGGTATTTGTGACTCAACTTGGTAGAGCCATTGACAGTGTGGGACATCGCAGAAAAATCATTATTGTAGGCGATTTTAATGTACTCTTTGGTACAAAACAAAGCGAGTCAGTGTTGGTAAATGACATGCTGGAATCATATGGATTTCGTGCATTGGTGAGTGCTGGTACGCGCGGCGGAAACTGTATAGATAACCTATTTATTAACTTCGATGTTCTTTTTACCGATATCAAAATAATCGACAATGATCTGTCTGATCACAACTTAATAGAGCTTCGGTTTGGAATAGTATAGCGATACAAATAACAAGACACTGATGAGGAAATATAGACCTATCACTGAAAGAGGTAAGCAATCTTTTTTTACTTTAGTTGTACTGGTCTTTTATATCTAAAAACAACATAAATGTCAGTACTAAATGCAAACTTTTTTGTGATAAGATTCAAGAAGCTTTTGATGCTTCTTTTCCAGAAAAAATATATAAAAATAAACAATATCAGACTCTGTTTCCTTGGTTTAATGACACACTGCGGGAAATGCGAGAACGTCTGTGTTTTCTTAATGATCTTTTTAAACAATACCCATCCCAAGAACTGCTTGACAATAAAAACTGCTTTAAAAAACAGTATAGAAGGGCAATTAAAGTCGCGAAAAGGGAATATAATGTTAGACTTATTTCTAACTCAACAAATAAGTCAAAAAGTATTTGGAAAATCTTGAATAACAACCGTGCAAACAAGCAGAAACAAAATCCCTCAATGACAATTGGTCCCGATGCATTTAATGATTTTTTCTCTAGTGTGGCGGATGTCTTGGTCGGAAATGGACAGTGATCTACGCAAGATATTCCATTTCGGATTACTCATCTGCTGGATGAGGAATTCAAGTTCGGAGATGTGGGTTTTAATGAGGTCAGGGACGTAATACTTACTTAAAAAATAAAGATTCGCGTGACAAATTTGGGTTCAGTGTTAGGATTATAAAGATGATAAGGGAACTTATCCTTATACCGCTAACAAAAATTATTAATTTGTGCTTTAGGGAATGCATTTTTCCATGTTGTCTCAAGGAGGTTGTTGTTGTACCAGTATTCAAAAAGGGGGACACGAATGATATATCTAATTATCGTCCGATTTCACTGCTTCCTGTTTTTTCAAAAATCATTGAGAAATGTATGGCCTCAAGAATGGCGTTATTCCTTGAAGAGTATTTATTGCTGAACGACCAACAGTTCGGCTTCAGGTCCGGACGCAGCGCTGTGGCGGCTATTCTGGACCTCGTGTCATTCATCTTGGATGGCTTTGAGGGTAGGAAACATGTTGGCGCGGTATTTTGCGATTTAAGTAAAGCCTTCGATTGTGTGTCTCACGAGTTGCTCATTAAAAAACTCGACTATTATAACTTTAGTGAGGGTAGTGTTGCCCTTTTGAAATCCTACATGGAGGACAGAATATAGAGGGTGGTCGTTGATGGTGTGTGGTCGAACCCAAGACCTCTTAAAAATTGTGTCCCACAAGGCTCAGTACTGGGTCCTTTACTTTTTTTGATTTATATAAACAACTTACCACATATCCGACGTGACAACCACTACGTTATGTTCGCAGATGATACAGCGGTCTCGGTCAGGGAAAAGAACTAAAAGACCTAGAGGGAGGCGCGGATGACGCTCAAGCGAGGGCGGCTGACTGGTTCCGGAAAAATAACCTAGTTTTAAATGAGGCCAAAACAAATCGTGTAATTTTTTCTTTGAGGAGTGTGCCTGAGGACTGTCGCTTCTCCAGGGAATCTGTTCCATTTTTAGGGGTTCAGTTGGACAGTGAAATGAGATGGAATGCTCATATTGAGCAACTATGCAAGAAGCTAAGAAGCGCGCTCTTCGTTCTGCGTAATTTTCAGGTACTGTTTCCTGTTGCGTATTGCGGACGGCTTACTACGCTCTTTTTTCATTCTGTGATGTCCTACGCTGTTTTGGCTTGGGGTCACGCACCTCAGTGGCGCAGGGTTTTCGCGCTTCAGAGGAGGGCTGTGAGAGTTGTCGGAGGATTGGGCTACAGGGATGATTGCAGGGAAACCTTTAAAATG